TATATGTCTTCACGTATTTTCCCACAAAGTTGCAGGGCAGATAATGGAGAGCAGCAGTAACAGTACCCAAGTCCAAAGGCTTCAAACATCACCACGTTTCATTTTCCTGGTCACAGACGGCATACAAATGGGAGGATAGAAAGTGAGGGACCCCAGCAGGCTGTGGCATGCCCTGTGATTTTCCATCGCTAACCTGGAGGTAGAGATAGGCCTCCGGCCCATGCTTTACAGATGTGAGCTGCACTCAACAACCCAGGATGCCAGACTTTGAGAGAATGGCACCAGCATTAGCCAGGCTCAGGGCAAACGCCTTCTCAAATGGCATCCAGATAATCCTCCCAGCAGCCCAAGGCCTGGTGTTGCTCATTCCAGATAAGAGGAGCTGGAAACAGATTGAATTAATGTACCCAAGGTCAGACAAGGGTTGTTTATTTATAAATGCACGCTAGCATGAGAGTTTCTAGAGTCAGGCCCCATTTGAGACACAATGGTTCTCCCTGAGACTATTCACAGCCAGGAAAACTCCACTGTGAGAATGTAAGACCATTCTCCTGCCTCAGATGGGAATGCCCCAGTGGGCAGGGGACAGCGACAGCAGTCAGGATCATTACACAAGTGATACCAAATCAGAAGACCATACTACAACAGCCTGTCTCAGATTAGGCTCTGGGTGCCTGCTGGCACATGATCTTGGCACATGATCTTGGCACATGATCTATGGCTCATGATCTATAACATGTAGATTCCTGAAAGGTGGGCTCTAAAATCTTCCTCGTGTCAGGGCAGGTCCAACATGAGAAGAAAATCATCTATCACAGATAATTCACATCAGGAGATGCCAACCTGGTCACCCAGCCACTCTTTCTGCTTCCCTGAAAACTGCTCCCTCCCCAAGCTGGAGGACATCTGATAAGTCATATACATTTCAAACAAAATCAAAGATCCCAGTCCAACAGCCACTGGTAGCCACAGGTGACGGCGCCAACCACACTGGTGTTTCTATGAACAGGGAGCTGAAACTTCTAGATCTCCAACAGGTGCTAAAGGAGATGTGAGGAAAGAAGGTCCCTGCCCAAACAACCGTGTTTGCCCACATCAATGGGAAAGCCAAGGGGAGTGGGCTGCAGTCTGGGAATGAAGCAAATACACAGGGAACTAATGTGAGAAGCTACACCGCCCAAGGAAGAGGGCGTGTTGAGGCTACTCCTGGCACCAGGCACCAGCCTGACCCTGGCTCTAGTCCTGAGACAGCCCTTCTCTACTTCTTCCATGGCTCATGAGGAAGCCTTAAAGACTCCTAGAGTCGTGGAAGGCCCTACCTGTTTGCCTGTTTAAACTATTTTAAGCAGATTCCTGTCTCATGAATTCTAGAAGTAAGACTGTTAAGAACTGGCCATGCACTACGGACAGGCTGGAGCAATCTCATGCCCACTCCATCTGGAGGCCTATCTAGCCTCATCTGAAGTTCAAAGAGCTCACTAAACTGTGAGTGAAGAGCACAGATTACATGGGGGAAAGAAACTGTCTCCATTTCCCAGAGACAAGGGGCAGCTATATAAATTACGGTATGTCTATCGGATGTCCTTTGTTGATGTTCTAGGGACACATGTAAATTACTCTGAAGACCCACGCTTCAGTATGATAAAAAACAGCACTCTACCAAACAAAAATAAAAATACAAATTATGTCTGGTGTGGTTACACTCACTATTACATAAACATTACACACTGAAGGGTCTTACTACTCACAGGGACCACCACTGTGTGTTAGTGATGCTTTTGTTACGATTTGAATATAAAGTGGCTCCTGCAGGCTCACGTGGCCCCCAGCTGCTCACACTGGTTTGGGCAGTTGTGGAGACTACAGGAGAGAGCCTCGCTGCAGGAAGAGGACCACTGGGAACTTGTTCCTGGGCTACATTCTACCCTATGTATTCCTGAAACAATCTCTGTGTGTATCTTTGTGTGTCTGTCTGTCCCCACCCCATTCCCCTGCTGACTGGCTACCATGATACGAGTGAGTTACTCTGTTCTATCCTGCCCTCTGTCCTAGGATGGTCTAAAACCATGAACCAAAATCCGGAACAGAGACTCTGACTGAGGCTGGTCACAGGTGCTTTGCTCTCCTCCTCCCTCCAGACTCACTTTGTATTAGTGTGACCTGTGGCTGGAGAAAGCACTAGTTAAGAGTACTCAGTGCTTCTGAAGAGCATTTGAGTTCAGGTCCCAGAATCCACATGGGACAGCCCACAGTTGCCTGTAACTCCACTTCTAAGGATCCAGTGCCCTCTTCTGGCCTCTGCAGGCACTGCACACATGTGATACACATACATGCATTCAGGTACATACCACTGAATGCACACATACACATAAAATGAATATTTTTTTTCTTTTTTAAAAAAATACTTATTTATTTTTTATTTATTTATTATGTATACAGTGTTCTGCCTGTACGTCTGCCTGAAGGCCAGAAGAGGGCACCAGATCTCATCATGGATGGTTGTGAGCCACCATGTGGTTACTGAAAATTAAACTCAGGACCTCTGGAAGAGCAGCCACTGCTCTTAACCACTGAACCATCCCTCCAGCCCAAAATGAATATTTTTAATAGGACAATTAACATAATATACTAAAAACTTGTAAGAGAAATAATTTCATCTCAAAACTATCTGAGAACACCAGCCCATAGAACTGTCAGTTTCCCCATGTTCCTGGGAGTAGGCTAGCTGGGTAATTATCTAGCCCAAACCTACTCCAGTGCGTACTGCTGAGTTGTCAAAAGGAAAGAATAAGAAGTTCATCTGTTTTGAAAATGCGTATAAATATTAACTAAGATGCACTAAATGCTGGGACAAGGTTGGAGTTTAGTTAGGGCTCAACCAGTTAATAAACACACAGTCCTTCTAATCTGCGAATCCTGTGTTTGAGGACTTTCTACTCACTAATTTATCTGCAACCTAAAATCAGTCCTTTGAGCATCTCTGATGTCAAGACTGAGTCAATGGACAGGAACATTCCCAGCTTGTTATGGTTTGAACTTGAAATTCAAGAAGGTCTCACCACCTCCCCACAACAACCAAGCCCTTGGCCAAGCCTTTAGCATGGGGGCCTCTCTGGGACACTGAAGAACCAAATTATGACATCGTGGCCTATTTAACGCCACAAAGTTCAGTTTTTATTTCTGCTTGTCAATCTCATTATTTAAAATGCACAGCGCCATGACCACCACCATCAGTATCTTTTTGTTACTGTTTCTTATGAAGAAGATGTGTGTGGGTTTGAGGCATGAAGCAGCCTGCCGCTGGCCCTGTGTTCAGTGCTGACAACCAACAGTGTGCATTATATACATCAACGCATCTTTCCAAAAATACACATAAAGTAAGGACCATATACTGATCTGTTATGACTAGAGGCTTGAAGTACCTGCACTCCTTATTCCTGTAAAACCAACGGTTTGTTTGGTATTTGCAAATCCAGTGTCTGTGATGACTTTGGATCTCTCTCAAGTCATGAGAATGAACTGCAATGTGCAAAGGCCATGAGGACCTTCCTTACTGAGCTAACTCAGTAAAGAGTCTCTGCCAACTAACTAAAAACCTGCTTGTCCATTTTTAAAGCAGCCTGGTAAGTCGACAGTATGCCAAATGCATTCTGAAGCAAGTCCAAAGAAGACCCCTGTAAAGCATATTACTTTAGTATATATTTTACAGAAGCTGGTGAAGTATGCTGTCCAATAGAAAAAATAAAATCACAAAATAGTTCCCATCACTTTATATGCATACGTACTTTTATGTGCACATGGTATAGAAGTCTAGAAAGACACACAATGAATTGGTAATAGTATTAGCCAGCTAGTACTGTTTTTAAAAATCTTTTTTGTGATATGTATACACAATGTAAGGGAGCGTGTGTGTTTTCATGCGGAGGTCTGAGGACAGCCTTAGGTGTTGGCCCTTGCCTTCTACTTGTTGCTGGTAACAGGACTCCTTGGGCTTTTGTTGTTGTTTTGCAGTGAACAAGACAGGCTAGCTGGCCTATAAACACCCCAGGATCCTCTTGTCTGCACCTCCTGTTTTGCCATAGAAGCCCTGGGAGAATAGAGATGCGCTTCTGCACCATCTGTATGTGGATCTGGGAACTCAAACTTACATTCTCATGATAGTCAGACAAGAGCTTCACCCACTGAACCATCGCCCCAACCCTAGCATTCTGCTTAATGTTGAAAGGTATACAGGAAAAATCAATAAAGATACAGACGCAAATAAAACGAAATAGAGTATCTCAAACCCCACTGCAGTGAGTGGTGAAAACGGAAAACGTGGCTAATTTGCATCACAATCGTCCCGTAAATTCAAAGAAGCCTAGATTTCAGAGTCAATACAAAAAGGAATGTGAAATATTTTCTTTTCCATTAATTTTTATGACTACATGCTGAAATGATACCATTTTTGATATCAACTAAGATATAGTCTTAAAATTAACCACTGCTTCCAAAGAAGCACTTACTTAGTGAGGTGCGGAAATATTTTAGTGTATGGGTGGCTAACGTAGCATTTCTGGGGGATGATAAATTTCTAATGGAACACAGAATTCAAATCTGAAACTAGCTATTTGCTGGCCCCTTAGGGAAACAGATGAACCAAAGTTTTCAAAGAAAAGAGTAGTGTCTGTCGTGTGGACTAAGGGTGGCCTCTTTAGATCCAGCTGAAGGATGGCAGGTGCCATGATGGGTGGCTATCCAACTAAATTCTGCATGATATGGGATGTAACCGGAAGGGCTCTGCAATTCTGTGACTTCATTTGGAGGAGGCTTGAAAAGGATCGTCCTCCCACTCCCCCGCTGTCCTGTTGCCTTGGATGTCGATATGATGGCTGATGCTCTAGCAGCCACAAAGAACATGGCCACAGCTCAGACACAGCAAGGTGTTATGAGAACGATACAACATTCTGTCTTGTTCTGACCAGTGTTAACTCCCAGTATATATGGCGTTGGAGACTGACCTTTGCGTTGCTCTGGAAGGAATCTAGCAGCAAGCACAGCTTCCTTCGCAGCACCTCTAAGTCTCTGGAGACACTTGGCGGCTCGTCTTTGGCCATCTTGAAATGTCCTCCAATCTCACTCGAGAGTATATCTTCTACCAGTAAGTTCTTTGATGGAGCACGTAGCCCAGTCTCTCATGTCGCCTGTCTCTTGCTATCACTGGAGGAAACAAGAAGTGTCTTGAATCATTAGTAGTCCCCAAGGAGCCTGTACCATCCCCTATGCACTGATGGCGGGCATGCAGATGGACATAACTTGACAATATTTATCAAATTTTTAAGCTGCACAAACTTTGATCCAGCAATTTATTTTTCATGGACCTCAATGAGATCATATATGAAAATATACTCAGAGGATGTGTATCATACACCTGTTTATAATATATAATGACCAGCAAGATGAAGAAACTAAATCCATTTATTATAAACACTTCATTGTTTTCCACACACACACACACACACACACACACACACACACAGTATAGAAAAGGAGCTAGAAATATATCTCTGAGAGCATACATCTTTCAGCCTGAATATTGAAAAAAAATATGACAAGCAAGAAAACTGAATTCAAGTCTCCCGCCCCTTCCCTCAGCCCCTCCTCCTCTAAGTCTTTCTTTTCTCCTACAACAGGGACTTGGGTGCTTTCTATTCTTTATTTGGCTCCCAAACACCTTGCACAATGCCACCTTTTATTTATGTGTGGCGAGGTCCTCCTCACAGTACCTGTCCCCAAGGCCTTGGCACAATTACTTTCTGTCACTCTGACAGCCTGGAATTTGCAAGACTGTCTTCACATTATTATGCATTTTCATGAAGGTAATGAGCCAAATCAGATACACTTTTAACTCCAGCTGAGTTTTCAAATAAAAAAATTACAGCGTTACTCTTAGGTTTTCCAGAACACCTGTCTGGATTGAACAGAATGGGATCTCTGCCTATCTCCTTGCTGCCAACTTCCTGATCTCACCTACATGTGCTCAGTAGATTCTGTCACCGTGCCAAAAATCACCGAGATCCTCGATTTATTTACCATATGCCTACTATGCGCTACAGTGAGGAAACATACCTTAGCGCTGTCTACACCACAGAGTCTAGTGCGTACGGCTTCATCACTAAAATGAGTTCTCGCCTCTTAGCCAGGGGAGAACCAACTCCTACACACATTTATATCGTTAATGCAACAGCTTGCACTGTTGAATTTGGGATGGTCCTTAAGGTCACCTAATCTCATCTCGACAGCGGGCTAAAACAAGCCCAACTGCGCCCCCCCCCCCCCCCCGCCCCCGTCCCCCGTTACAAGTCTTCTTTGGCCTGGGAAACATCCAAGTGCCAACGGACCGGTCTGGAGAGTCTGACAAGGCAAGCGTGGGAAGAATGCGGAGGACCGCAGTTAGGACAGGCTTCTACCTAGCCACCAATCAATTCCCAGACTCTCTAGTCCTTCTTCTAGGGTCCATTGCAGACACCAAGCAGCATCATAAGAAAAGACAGAAGACGCCACCCCAACTAGCCTAGGGCGCCCCTCCTACTCTGAGCTTGGGGGTCCTAGCCAGGTTCTCAGAGAACAGGCCCCGCCCCTTACAAGGCTCCAAATAAAGCCTTGGCTCCGGACTCTGGCGTCCCGCGAGCAAACCGCCACCGCGAATGTTCCAGCTGCGGGTCGGGTCGAATCCACGAACTGGGGGCAGGGCTTTCGGGTCGCCTTTCAGATAGAGGAGTGTGGAGAGTTTCAATCTAAGGCCAGGGATCCAGAGAGAAGAAAAGAATGTGATGCAGATGGAGATCTGATCCCGGATCGCGGGGCCCCAAAACTACGAGACGGGAACTCAGGGTAGTTGGGTACCCTGTCACTGATCTGAGGGAGCAAGCCCACCTTTGACACCTGCAGCTCCCTCCTGCTGTGGCGCATGGCACCCCCGTTGACCAATCCTGGGGAGGAGGTGTGGAGGCCCAGGCAAGACTTCAAGTCTTCCCATGCAGGGTTCCCAAAAAGAAGGCAGGGCCTCGCTCGTGGACTGGCACTGGACTTCCCTTTTTTTCTTTTTTTTTTCCTTTTCTTTCTTTTTCTTTTCTTCCTCCCCCCTCCTTCTCCCTCCCTCCCTTCCTCTTTTTTTGTTTTTTAAACAAATCTAGCTGTCGGTGTGTAAGCGCGGAGATGGCTGGAAATGGTGGGTGGGATCTCCCCCATAACCTCCTACCCGCACCCAGCAACTCAAGGCTTCAGACACCTTCAAGACCAACCCAGAGGCCAACAGCTGCAGGCGAAGGAAGCTAGCGCACTCTCCCGTGGCCGACCCTGAACTCCTCCACTTCCCAGGCGGAACTTCGAGGGTTCAGCCAGTCGGGGTCCCCTAAACTCCACACCCCACAGCTTTGCTCTCTCACCTGGTGCTGGCTGCCGCGATACCCAGCTCTGCAGGCATCGAGGGCGGGAAGCGAAGTGGGAGGAAGAAGAGAAGGGACGCAGGCCTGATTGAGGACAGGAGCTGGAACTGCTCCTCCCCGCTGGCGAGCGCTCTTCCTTCCACCAGACGAAGCCCCGCCCTTCTGCCCCGCCCTTCTGCCCCGCCCTTCGCCTAGGCCCCGCCCCCCACCGAGGACCAGCACAGGTCCCTGCCCCGCCTTCGCAGCCACAACAGGAAGGACCCGGTATCCCGGCGCCCAGCCGCGCGGCGGGCAGCTTTGCTAGGAGCGTTCGCTTCTTCCCACACACTCTAGGAACAATCCCACAAACCTTCTAGACTTTAGAGAACTAACGAGAAAATGAGGGCTTGAAAACAGTCACTTCCAACAGCGGTGGCTTGGAGTGAAAGTTTTGGGGGCAAATCTCAGGTGGACTGGCAGCCCAAGGTGGGTTTTTTGTTTTGTTTTGTTTTTTGTTTTTGTTTGTTTGTTTGTTTTTAGAGGAATTTAGGGTTTCCCCTTCTCGGCACAGATCCAGTTCTGGATTCGCCCCCGGAGTTCAAGTCATACGAGTCGGTGAGGTGCCTCCTAGACTGGAAAGTCTAGTCATGAAGCAGGTGCAAATGTTGGCATTCAGGGAATCTCAGAGAAGGATTATCTCCACATTACGGATTTAAAGACAAAAACAAAAACAAACAGAGAGCTAGAGGGATAAGGTTTATAGATAAACTCGAATCCTCTTCTCAAGGATCCACGGTAGAGAAACCCACGTTTCCTGGTTCCAAATACAGGCCTGAGGAGCGCGTTTACTCGGCGGCCGTGCTATTAGCATTTGGGATGGGATGAGTCTGTTTCTGAGACGTCCTGAGAGCACTGTGGGGTGCTTGGAAGCATTCCTGGGTTCCACCCACGAAATAAATACAAATATCTTAGCAGCCCCTCCCAGCTGAAAATGTTTCCAAGGGGGTTGGAGATGGGACGCAACCATCCGGTATCCAGAAACACTGCCTTTGAGCTTACCGTGAAAAACTGTGGGCTGGGGTCCCCCATCTAAGGGCCCAAGTCTAGCTGTGGCTGTGTGACATCGGGGACTTAACCTCTCATGGGGAGCATGGTATATAAGGGCATGCATGTCTCTGAAGTTTTTAATCTCAGGCATTCTTGTCTGGCTGTCTTCACTTTCTGGAGCTGCAGTATGATACGTTTCCCACGAGAGGAAAAGAAAAATATACTTGTTTTCCTTAGACCATCAGGTCCTGGTAGATATTGCTTTGGAAAAATTGGGGCTTCTCTGGGATTTCAGCTGAAGGGTGCCATCTAGGGGTACCTTTTGAATCCTCTAGCTCCTCCAGGCTCCAGCATCTCCCCTCCTCCCCCCAGTGTCACTGCCTCTCAGACAATACCTTGTATTTCTCATCTGGGGGTCTAGCATCTCTGTACCATCGAGAACTTGGCTCTTGGTTAACATTCAAAGGACTGATAAACCCACATGAAGCCTCTCCTAGGCTTCCCCACAGTTTTCTACAGCAACAGACTGAATATTTTTATCCTTTGTGCCCCAGTATAACAGTATCAGGTGGAGCTTTTGTGAAGCCGTTAGTCAAGACAATAAAGCACTTATGAATAGATTAATGCAGGGCAGGCAGTGGTGGTGCACACCTTTAATCCCAGCACTGGGAAGGCAGAGGCGGGCTGATCTCTGTGAGTTCAAGGTCAGCCTGGTCTACAGAGTGAGTTTCAGGCTACACGCACACACAAAAAAATGGATTAATGCTTTAATCCATTAATTAAATTAATGGATTAATGGAGGACTGGGGAGTTTTCTTGCCTCTTTCAACTATCAGAGAGCAGAATAAAAAGATGGCAGACTAAACTCCGTGCAATCTCACTGTGCTCACATTCAGACTTCAGACTTCCATTATTTTGAACTATGAGAAATATGTTTCTTGTTTTTCTTCGTTTTGTTTGGCTGCTTTTGTTTTAATATACCACTCAGACTTCAGCACTTTGGGATAGGAACCCCAATGAGCTAGCACACTTGTTCTAGGTAAGCAATTCCCTTTCAGCCCTCTGAGATCTACTGTGAGCACTGGCTCTGAAGAATAAGAAGTGGGGGAGGGAGGATTCTTTAGCAATGCATTGACCCAGTTGCTAGTCAGAGCCAGAATATGGCCTGAACCCAGCTGACCTCTCCTCCCTAGACTGTCAGATTTAGCAACTGAAACTATAGGACTCTCAGATTTCTTTTTGAGGCAAATAACCTATAACTTTTTGGTATAAGCATGTTTCATATGTATTCGGGATATATTTATTTTAAAAGATATTTTGCCTCAAAAAATGCTTACCTGAAATTCTGAGTTTTTCTGGTCATCCTGAGTTTTATTTATCTGGAGACCTTGGGGATTGGAGTTGAGGACAAAGAGGGTCTTAAGGCTGACATTATTTCTTAAGAATAAACAGGTATGTGCCCTGGAGGATTAGTTCTCTCTCCCCCTCTTCCTTCTCCTTCCCCTCTTCCATTTTCATTTCATTCTCTTCCTCCCCCCCCCCCTCTTCTTTCTTTGGAAACAGTGTCTCACTTTTAACCCAGTCTGGCTCTAGCCATTCCTCAGTCTGTACATAAGTTTATAACTAAAGCTGTGAGCACTTCCCATAACCACATGCAAGTCCGAATTTTGCTATTGACCTTTTGGAGTGACCACAGACCGGTTGTTTGGTTAGTTAGTTAGTTAGTTGGTTGGTTAGTTGGTTTGTTGGTTGGAAGGTTGGTTGGTTAGTTTAGTGTCTATATTTCCAAACATAAAAATTGGAAAAATGAGATTTTTTTTCTCTTGTATTGTTGAGAAGATGCCCTTTACGGGGCGGGCATGAATACCAGCAGATCATGTCAGTAAACAGAAAGTCTTCTTGTTTTAATGGCTTTAAACATAACTAGTTTTTAAAGTACATTAAATTTCAGACAGCCTATCTTGCTACCCAGGAGGCCGTGGACTCATTACCCTGCTCCTCTCTTGCTACTCCTCACATACATAGATGAGAGTCTCTCCGATGTGCAATTCGCTGCTACACTATATCTGACTCTATACACTCCATGTTTGTGTGTGTGCTGGGCATCAGATCCGGACCTTGTATGTGATAGGCCAGTGCTCTATTACATTTGAGCCACAGCCCAGACCCTCTACATACTTTATGATAAGAAACATTAACTCAAGGGACAAGGAAGGACTCTCTACAGAGAGCCAAATCTTGAGTGTAAAGTGAGGAAAAGGAAATTGAAGTTCTTGGTGCTTTTCAAAGGAGCTTAAAATGCCTATGTCCTGGGCAGTTGCTCTCCAAAAAGAACAGTAAAAATGTTTCATTTTGTAGCCACTCTGACTAAGAAAAGCTAAGGTTGGAAGACTAACTCTGTCTTGGTTTCCTCCTGAAGAAACGGGAGGGTCATGAAAATTAAAGGGGGAAAGTGAATGAAGAAACAGACAGGCACCATAGCATTCTGAGAGAGTTTGATAAATCTAACTTGGCTTTAAAAGACTTTTGAAAGCAGCCATGTGCTAAGTGTTTTGGATGTTGGGGCAGTGGCGAATCTTGGGTACTTCCATGAGAGTGTATGTGCCTGTAATTATAATACTGGTGCTAGCCACAACATTCATAAAGAACCTATTGCATTGAGTGACAAGACTATCCCAACCTGTCCTGGGCAGAGGAAGTTCTCAAGATGCAAGACCACAGTGGTGAAGTAGGGAAAGGCTCGTGGTGTAGCTCAGTTGGTAGGATGTTTGCCTGGCATATACCGGGCTGCTCTCAGTCCTGTGTAAACTTAGCACTAAGGAGGGGGAAGCCAATGATCAGAAGTTTAATGTTATCTTCAGACCCTGCCTCAGTGTGTGTGTGTGTGAGTGTGTGTGTGTGTGTGTGTGTGTGTGTGTGTGTGTGTAAGTCATAGGCAAATTAGGATGAATTTACAGTGTGCGAATTCTTTTAGGTGTGCAGTATCTCATCAAACTCACAAACAGACCTGGTGAAGTGGGCACTCGCAGTATGACCAGAAAGTGGTATGGAATTTGTACACGGAAGCTGACAGTCACTCAACACAAGCTGAACATTCCTTAACAAGAAGTGCAGGATCTGAGTTAGACCAGTCCAACTCTGGACTTCAAGACTCAACCACCAGCTGCTGTGTCTTAGACCTCTTCAAGATAATCATCTCTTATTGTTACATTCCTAGGCCATTACTAAACACTTTCTCAATTTCCCTTCTGTCACTAATACTTCCTGCTGCTCAGCTCAGCCTCCTACCAAGGGAACCAGCAGGTCACGCCCAGTCTTGTGTTTAAACATAGAAGAGGCCCCTCCTCTTAGCAACAGACGCTAAAGCTGGTTATCCACCACAGTGCCTGGGTAGAAACCCCATTATGGCTAAAACTGCTCAGGGAACTCCCCAGGTTCCCAGGGGTGTTATCTGGGACAGCAAGTTCCCTCTTCTGGACATTAATATGTGACCGTGCTTCGATTTTGTCCTTTGCAGAGACATCAGGCTGTTCTAGGAAGTTCCAAGAAATCTACTGAAAGGAAAGAAAGAGCAAACACTGCAAAGAGTGGAAAGCGGAGGAGGAATTCTGCAGAACGCCATGCTACCTCTTCATTCTTTGTCTTTCCTTCTCTCCCTTTCTGCCAGGGAACTCCCCGGGATACCAGCATCTATGACGTCGGAGAAAGAGTTCTGTGTCAGAGTGTCCAGAGGGTCCGAAAATTCCGCTGCTGCTGTCTTCCCCATTCTCCTCTAAAGAATCGCAGATTTCAAAGCAGCTGGATGGGAGAGACTGATCCTCAGAGGAACTGAGAACTCCTTAACAATTAGAACCGGCACCATGAGCTCCCCCGACTGCTCATTTCAGGAGGTGGGTGTGAAGTTTAAGACGTGCTTTTCTGTACTTGTGTCTTCAACGTGTAGGGAATTGAGAGTGTGGGGGAGGAAGGACTTTTCCCACAGAGAGATTGCCATGGTGGATTTCTTTGACCTGGAAAGTGTGTTAATCACTTTTTCACCCTGAAATTTTAGAACCCATCGTTCCTTCCCCTTCCCTTCCAATGTCATCAGATACACACTCCAGCA